AAATTTATATAATATATTTTTCATTTTCTAAAGAACTTCTTTAAAGCTGAGAAAGTTGTCTCATCTAAAGCAAAAATATTTTGTCACTTGGAGACCTACTGATTCTGCTTAGGAAAATCTTTTTTACAGGAAAACAGGTAAGCTACAATTTTCTTTTTAATTCTTATTAGCCAGTGGATATTTGCTTCTTTTGTAGTTGTCAAGTGATTGGAAGAAATTCATTACTATTTACCTCGATTCACAGGAGCCTTTACATGATAAACAATGAAACACCTTTCAAAACAGAAACTTTGAAGCTTTCCCTTGTGACAAAGATATCAAGTAGAAGTTCTGTGGGAAATCTGACTTTTTTTTTTTTTAAATCAAGTTGTTTGTTCGTTTGTTTCATTAGGTATTTTCTGTATCAGGCTATAATTCTTTCTTTTTAATGTTTTATCCCCAGAAGAACGGAGTCAAACAAGACCCACCTGTGCAAAACAAGAATATATACCATTCCCTGTTCATCCTAAACAAATAGACCTGGGAAATTTTGGCAGGGAGCTTGAAAAGCCCCCAGCTTATCCCTGTGGGGAAACAGGGATCTCTGACAGCCCTGGAGGAAAGGTCTGTGCTCTTTGCTCCTGGGAAATCTGTTTGGAAAGCCAAGTCCATTGGAAGCACGGTGAATTTTCACAATTCCAGATTATTTGCATTATCACAGGCATTTAGCTATAGGGAGTAATACACTGGAATTTTAGAGCAGCACTCCAAATACTGATGAGATCTGTGTAAATTCTCACTGTTCTGTAGCATTTTTCACCTCCTAGTAGTCTGTTAGAAAGGAGCATTGTGTTTGTTCATTTGTGTAAAGAGTTCCATTCCTGGAGGAGCAGCTTTAATATTTAGGTTGGAAAAGACCTCCAAGAGCATCGAGTCCAGTGTTTGATCTTGTACTGATTTGGAGGATTTGCACTGATCACTGAGCTGAGCCCAGCCCACTTTAGACATGTTTATCCCACCACAATCTGTAGGTCCAGGCTTATTCTTCACCAGAAAAATCCTGAGAATAAACCTCAACCCAGGAGAGGGATGGCCCACAGGGTGGGGAGGGGGCAGGAGGCCTTTTCTATCTCTGTGTTTATTAAGTCTCTCCATCGTGTTATTGCCCCAGCAGAAGGCACAGTCTCTTTTTAGTTCTGTGAGGTCACATGAAAAAGAAAAATCAGCTTCACAGGTGCATGTTATTAGACACACAAAGCACTTGTTAACAGAAAATATGAGATGGCTTACATTTATCAAAATTATCCCTGGCGTTTCCTTTTGCTCAGCTGAAAACAATATTTTAAGCTCCCAGAGCAACATGTAATGTGTGAGGGAGGAAAAAAACCTAAACCACAAACAGAGATGGTTTTTTTTATAAAAGACACCCAAAGGAATATGTGGTGAATAAGTTGTGTTTGTGGTAAAGACCAGAGTTGTCCAAAGAGCCATGTTCCATATGTGTTTATTACAATTAATTGGATGTTAAAGTTTTCTATCTGTATTTCTAATATACTTTCAGATAGGGACTCTCATACCTCTGAAAACTTAAAAATCATAATCCTGGTGTTCTGTTATTGACAGAATAGACATTGTGCCACGGGCAAGGCAAACACAAATGTGGCCATTATTCTCCCATCTGTGGTTTCAGCCTCATGGCAAAAGGGGCTACTTTTAGGGATGAACAATCCAACCCTGGTCAATTAGAGGTCCCTGTACTAAAACTGCAAATAGAAGGGTGCTTTAGCCACAGTTTCAGGGATTGTTTTGTCTGTTAATTATTTACTTGAAAACTCTGCCTGAAAGACACTTTTTTCCTCCCTGGAGACTGCTATTGTGATGCTAATAAGTATGTGTATGTATTTTGTTTGTGCGTTAATTGAATGCTGTCTCTACAAAATTTAACTTGGATAGCTCATTCTCAAGATGATGTGTATCAATAAATAAAATATGGTACCTAAAACAAAAGCAGTTTTGCTTGCAAAGAAAGAGAGAAGACGAGCTTTAAAAAGAAGTAATTTAGTAATTGCATGATGAATTAAGGCTAATAAATCTGCTTAATTGTCACATTTGCTTTAAATTAATAATTTATATCAACATTTGGTGTGGGCAGATACGATGAATATTTTTGTGTTGCGATAATCCTGGAAAGTGACGCTTTGAACACTTTAAAAACCAATTAATTGCAAGTCCTGTCTGGTTTTACACATTTGTTGTAGTAACTGAATAAACAAAGGTGAGAAAATTTCACAGAAATAGGAAGGACAGAGCTTCAAAAGCCATTAAACCCTCCCAGTGTATTGATGGTGCTAATCAGATGAGCTGCTGAGGTGCCAGGCTGTGTCTGCTGCTGTGGCAGGTCACCAGCAGCAGCTTCACCTGGAGAACTTCCCCACCCGTGGTTTGCTGCTCCTGTGAGCTGGAGGGGAGAGCAGAGCTGCCCCTCCACACCAGGCTGTGATTTGGGACTGGCTTTTTGCTTTTTTCGTTGTCCCTCTGCCACACCTGACCCTCTCTGCTCCCACCCCCCTGCTCTCACCACAAACCCTGCACTCACCTTTTTTTAATTTTTTTTTAATATGTTTACGTATCATTTAACATAAAGTAAGCACGATGCTTCAAAAATAGTAATTTGTTGATCACAGGTTTACTGGAAAAACCTGTTTTGAGTGATTTGTAGGTTCCTGTCTGCCTTGGTGCTGGCCTAGGGAAGCTCATGGCTCCTCTGCTAATGGCCTGACTCTTCTCCTGCTGTTCCCATCCTCCTCCACCTCACTTTACATCTTAATGGTGTACATCTGTTACTGGACAGATTGCACAAGATGAACATAAGGCACTCTTTTCCAGGGTCAGCTAAATTGCCAAGCTAGGTCCACTTAGGCTATTGAAATGTATGTTCAAAATTCCAGAAATTCTACTAATGACAGATATCTCTGTCATGTTATGCTGCATAATAATTATACTTATCCAGGCCGGCGTGAGGTCAGAATAAAAACGTTGTTTCAGCATCAGAGATATATTGGGGTGAGTAAGGAATAAGTGTAATAATGTGGGGTTTCTTGTGGCTTCAGAAACGGAGATTTTTAATTTTTCATATTCAAACTTACTTTGTTTGGGACACACGTGAAGTTTGAGAAGTTTGGGATCAGTAGTTTTGGAGTTTACATGTGTTGAGGTGTTGTTTTCAAACGTTCTGGCAGTGTTTGAGGAGTCAGCAGATGTTAACAATTAGGAAAAGAGAAAAAGAAACTGGGGTACCTCTTGGCCCCACTGCTCTTTGTGTACATGTGTTTCCTGAGATTTTTCCCTTTTTTAACTGTGGGATTAGTGCAGAGTAACAAGGCACTGATTTGTCTTGGTTCTGCACTGTGGAGTCGGACAAGGAACTGTCGCAACACATGGCTTTCAAATGAGTTGATTGTAGACATATTGTCTGTCAGTCAAAACTACAATATTGTAATTAGAGCAGGCCCTGTGTCTTCATACGTGCTTCAGATGGCAATGAAATAATCTCAGGAGTGAGCTGTGGGGATGCTGCAGTGTGGATCAAAGCTTATATCCTGCTCTACTGCAAATTTTAACTAATTCACTGTTGACACTACTGAAAAAAAATCGTATTTTATCCTGTCATTCTTGTAGAGTCTTTATATTTTTGATATAGGTGTAATATTTCTCAGTAACAATATATCAAATTAATGTGTTGGAAAACCCTGAGAAGCTCAAGAAAGTTCTCTCTATTTGTCCTGATTCCTGTGACTGACAGAGTTGGTCACTCTGCTTGAAATGGGATTTGGTAGTGGTGTTGCTGAAGAGTTGATTTTTCATACTTCAATTCATATGCTTGAAATCCATAGGATAAAGCTTACACAGGTCTATTCCAAACATGGAGAGGAGGGAGATTCAGAATCATTGATGGAGTACAATAAATATGCAAGAAAAAGGTATTGTTTGGATGCCCCAGGATAAAAGCAAACTTTGGGGAAGAGAGGAAATTCCGCTGTCATAAAACAAAGCTCCCTTGTTACAGACATTGTTTTACTCACTGATGTGTCACAAAAAGCAGATTTACTTCCAGATTCTGCCTGACTCTGGGTCCTGTGACAAGGGAGATGGAAGGAAGATATTTCATTTAAATGAAGTTATCTTGTTGAAATAATTGTTAATAGATAAACAGGAATAATAGAAAGCAGGACCTAAACAGCAGTGTGGCACTGGTACAGCTAATGCTGGTGATGTCTTTGCTGCATAAAACTTACAGAAAAATGAATGTTTACTGGATATTGTGTTCACCTGGAGGGGAGCCAAGGAGCTCCGGAAAAGACACGCAAGACAAAAGTAAACCCTTGAGAAAGTAAAATATAATTTAAAGGGGGGACACAGAAGGAGTTAGTCCCAGAGTTACTCCCAGTTCACCCTGGGCACTAACTGGGATATTGTAAATTTTTTGGTTCTGTGAAGAGCCCAAATTCATGTCATGGACACAGTCAGTGGCAGTGCTGATGAGTCAGAATTCTGGTTTTGTGATTTACAGGGAAGTCATTTGAAAAGTAGTGCCATATGGGATGATGCTTGATTTGTAATTCTAGAAGTTAACAATTCAGTCTCCTGCAAATCCTGAGTCTGTCAAGGATTTCTCAAGTGATGTGCAGCATAGAAAATGTCCACTTTTATTTTTCTATTTGGAGTTATTTTATACAAATCAGCCCTGGCTTTGCTGGCAGAGGACATAAAAGAGCAGGGTGGTACAAAGGAGGGAAAAGCTGGTTCATTCTGGGCCAGTACAGCCATTCCCAGAGTTCTTTCCCAACAAAACTCCATCCACTCCTGAAACCAAGGTAATACTAATACGTTTATTTAAATCCCTGTGTAAAATTTATTTTTCAATACTACCATATTCTGCATCTCTACATGCATCTACATAAGGAGTTCAACTCAAATTTCGTGTCTCTGTAATGAAATTCCTTTTTCTCTGTGTTTCCTAGGGTAGATCATGGCTAGGACAAGGTCTCTATCAACCATGGTAAGAAAAAGGGAATTTTGTTTTCTCCATAAATAAATGCATTTTCAAAAGAGTTTTTAGGCAGTCAATGCTGTATTTTTAAATATATATATATTTAAAAACAGAAAGCACTTTAAAAGTTCTTCTTTTGTTTTAGTACACTTACTATAGTTAAGATTTTAGGTTTTTCTTGGCCTGATAATTGACATGGAAATCCAGGTTTTTGTAACTGCCTTTTTCTTGGTGAGAAAGAATACTCAGCCATTTTTAGTCATTAATTTTGCATGAGTAAGGGTTCTTTAGCCCTGCACTTACCAAATATATGTCATCTCTGGTACTCTAAAAGTATATTTGATATCAGAAAACAAAACTGTGACTGTGCCAGCATGTGGTGGCAGCAAAGCAGGTGGTGCATGGTGATGAGGAAATCTCCATCCCGGCCAAGCCTAAGCTTCCATGTTTGTTTTGTACAGACATCTGCCTGCATGCCTGATTTAGAGACCTAAAAATGTGCTTTTGCACCAGAGAATGAAACCCTGTCTCCCCAGCCTGGCTCAGTGTGTCCACGTCCACAGCAAAAAGCTGCTGCCCAATTTCCATTAACCTCCCATCCCTGTGGGAATGATTCTTGAGGTGATAAGGACGGGCTTGGCTGTTATCACTTCTCTGATCATTCCAGCCTAGTACAGGACTGTTTCAGAGCCTGTTCCAGCTGCCTCCTTTGCTCTTTGCCAGGATCTACCCCTGGAAATTCCCCAGGAGCACAGTGGGAGGAGGTCAGGGATGGGGCTGATGCTGCCACTGGCACCACAACACCCACAGCTCTTGCAGGGGCTTTCCCCAACCTTTTCAGGAGACTTTGTAATTCTCCTTCTCTCTCTGATACACCTTAGAAGGTCGCCCAATAACTCTGCTTGTTTTTTCTGTTCTCTTCCATAATTTTTTTTCAATTCGATCATCATTGATTTGTTTTCTTTTTTTCTCATGGAGAAATTCCCACTGGCAATGCCAGTGCAGTGCAGGAAATCTCTCATACACACCTTGGTGGTACAACCCCAGTGCCACCTTGGGACATCACTGGTTACTTGAGTAATAATGTTGTGGGTAGAAATAGTGCGAGGAAATCCATACCAATGCTTTAAAAGTCAGATTTCCAACATCAATTATGTCAGTAAAATATTTGTGCTTTTCTCTCCTAAATTCATAGTTGGCTTAAGAGCTTCTGGCTTACCTGACATCACTTCTTTCATGGCATCTTATCCATTAATACTTCTTGCTGGAAATGCAGGGTTTCTTCTCAATCTCAGCACAGAAATCTTCAATTTCAAAGTAGACAAGAATTTAACTATTTTTTAAATTGTCTTTTTTTCCTGCACAACTGTTTTTTCCAGCTCTCCTCAATTGGGCTTCATGTGATGGTTTTAGACATAACAGCTTCAGTTCAAGTTGCCTCCCTTCAAAGATTTGAAAATGTGCACAGATCCTGATCAACATAAATTAGCATGGCTCTGCCTTCTGTTATCAGTTATTTCAACTATATGAAACAATCTGTTTCTGTTTCAATATAAAATAAGATGGTGTGCACGTTTACAATACATAGCACTTCCAGACATAAGTGGGAATACCTGTTGAAGGGCCCTGTGAGTAAAGACAGCCTGTTAAGGATCTTTTTTATGCATGAGAGGAACATCCATACAGTCACTGCGTTTGCAGGAACGTGTGGGACTGGTTTGGAATGCAGAACAACATTTCTGCACTGTGGCATAGCCTTTTCCTTATTTATTTTTATATTTTTGCTGGGGGTGAAAGGTTGAAGTCGTGATACCACATCATTCAAATCCATAGGAATTCTTACAATAATTCGAGGGATTCAGGATAAAGTTTACACTGGAAAAAACACCAGTGGAAAAGTAGGAGCCAAGAACTGTCTGCATGGCTACCCTGGTATTGTCTGTCCCTTTTCCTTACAGAAGTCTTGGGAAAGCAGGTTGCTGCCAATATTATTAATCTTTATTTTGTGCTGGCACTTAGCTATCAGGATGTCTCTGACATTTGATGGGGTCTGGAGCAAACTCTTTTTTTTGTAATAGAATTTTTATGTCTCTGACTAGCCAAGGAAAGGAAGAATGAATTTTGTGAGCACAGAGTAAATATAAACCAGAGCTTTTATTCTTTTCCAAACATTATTCTGCTTTATTTTTGCTTTATAGCTAAAGGATGTCAGCAGCTCAGAGCACAATTTTCCATCAACGTTCTTCACTCCGATGTCTGAAATCTCTGGTTCTGTCTGTGCCACACATTTGCTGCTCCGTGGGGTGAGGTGTCCCTGCCCACCAGCTGAACACCTGAAGTACAAGTGAGGTTGCACCTTCCTGAGATATCCCAGAGTGCAGAACAGACCCTGGCACCACGGGTGGGAAACCAGGGTGTGAGAGCAGGGGGATGCTTTCATTTACTCCTCATTTTTCATCCCCACGTGGAGTTCAGCTCCAGGGAAGCACCTGAAGGCTTCACAGTAACTGCACTTCTGGGAGAGGGATGGACAAATGCCTCCAGAGGAGGTGAAAACACAGGTCCTGACTTTTGTGGGAGTGTGTAAACTTCAGGTGAGAAAAGAGCCAGGAGTATGTTGGGCAGGAGATTCTGGAAATTAGACCAGGTGAGCGCAAGGAAAACACTCCGATTCTCTCTCCTGCATCATCTGCTTTGTCCTCCTAAGAAACAGCACATCTCCCTTCATTAACAGATTGCATTAAAATAAAATATGAAATTTTCATGGAGAATACAAGTATAAAGAATATATCTATTAATAAACTCAGCAGATTTTGTTACAAGGTTTTCTACCTGAGCTCTGTTGGTAAATAAGTGCACAGAAGGATCTTGGAGTTTAATTTTTTTTCCTACTCCATTTATTTTTATACCAGGCCCCAGTGGAGGCACCTGGAATATTACAGTTAAAGGCAGCCACAAAAATTTGATTATGTTTAACAAATCATTGCTATGCAGTAACAAGGTAAACTGGGTCCATACAAATAATTTTCCTAGCATTTAGGAAATCTGTTGATAGAGCAAAACACAAAAGAATAATCTGCAAGGTCTGTAATTTCGATGTTTTATAGTAGCTGAGGTATGTGAATAGATAAATTATCAACTGAGACATCAAAGGGAGGCATTTGTGAGTGGGTAGTGGCTTGGGAAAGAGGGAAGTGATTAGTGGAGTGCCACAGGAGATCAGTATTAGGACCAATTTTGTTCATTTTATAAGCCAATGGTCTGGAAAAAAGAGAAGACCATGCAGGCAAGGCGTAGCACACACTTAGGTTCCTGTGTTGGGAGGCAGTGGCAGGTCATGAAAAACAAGAGGAAAATTCAGAAATCCAAGATTCAGACAGATAAGGAGCTATCATTTCAGTTGAGTGGATGTGAATTGAGTGGAAAGACTAGGGAAAAGAAGGGAAATAACATATGGAAAGACTGCAGGAGGATGTTGCTTCACTGGGAAGTGTGGGTTAAGGGGAATAGTTGAAATAATTTTAGTGATTTTGCATGCTTATATTTTGGTTTATTTCACCCTTTCAGTGAGGAAGACAGTTTATATTCCATATATTTAAAAGCTTATGTGAAAATTAGATAAAAATGTTTTCCTAAATTCCAATATTTTCAACTTTCAAGCTTATTGAAAGAATGAAGAATGAAGAAGAATGAAGATTCTGGGTGGTTCTGACACCTGCTGTCTCACACAAACCCTGAGACCACGGAAATAAGATCATGTTACAGAAGAGGTGAGAAGGAAGGAATGGCTCTAAAGGGTATGTGTGGTGGAAAATACTGGAATATGGATCATTTTAGGGGAGATTTCAGTTCATTGACTAAAAACTGAAAATTAGTCCCATTTTTTACTCATTTTGAAATTCCCCTGTTCTGTTTGCCAAAGGGATTAAGGAGGTTCCAGAACCCGAAGTATGTTTACTTTTACTTGAACATTAGCAGAAATAGCAATTGCCAAAGAGCACAAATGTCTCTGCAACAATTGTTCCAATTAAACAACAGAGCCATCATTAAAGAATCATTAAACTTTGAGCTTACAGCATTTCTTTATTGAAATAACATCTATGAGCTACCGCTGGAACACTTTGGTTTAAGCTATGGAAGAGTTTATTATAACTGAAATTTAATTTAAAAAATAAGCTTTAAGCCAAGTGCCCTAATAAGAAACTGTCATGCTACTTAAGGAGATAAAACAAAACTAAACACTGCCTGAAATAAGGACAATTTCCACTGAAACCTCTTCCTGAAAATTGAGTAATCTCAGTAGTTATTGCATGGTTTTCCATTTTTAAATGTTTTATCTCCTAAAGCTTCATTTCCAGTTTAGAAGGAGGTGTTTGTCTTGGGTAGTTCATGGGTAGTAGATGATCTGCTGTTATTAAGTTTTACCAGCACAGAGTCACTTTCTCTCACTTACTCTGCCTTTAATATTTTTTTCTAATACATCTAACATGTGCACAATTTGTTCAAATAGTTTGATTCAGCATAGTTTTTGGGTTTTTTTATTCACGAGCTTGAGGTTTATGTTGATGCCTGGAAAGATTGCAGCCTTTTCCTGGTCCTAAGGACATTCAAACACAAAAATTAATCTCCTCCTTTGGAGGCTAGTGGAAATTTGACCATGAGAATTGCTGCTTATTCAGTTGTGTTAATTCCTTTTTCAATCAATATAAAAAAAGCAATGCCTTAATTATTAGTGTAATTCATGTTTTAGGAAATGAGAAAATGATTAGCTCAGAGTTGCTTTATGTTGCTTGTCTCTCGTAGTGAATAAACAAGAATCCACAGAACTGAATGTGAGCAAATGCAGTTGCCATGAGCTGTGGGCTCCAGAACCAAGGCTCAAAGCTGCACAATTTCCCTGCCCAGTGCTGTTGAATATTGCCTGGTGATGAAGTGCCTCTCCCTGCAAGTTCCAATGGCAGGACGAGTCATTTCATCTCTGTCCAAATAATGGTGTGTTTTGTTTTAGGTGATATCTGGCTTCTGAGGCCAATAAATGCCTTTTCTGGTGGATGGATGTTTTATGTGAGGCTGTGTATTCCCTTTGAGTTATGTGGTATTATCAAAGAAAACCAGAAAAGTGTATATTTTCCAAAGAGACGTGTAAAGGTTTGTAATTGTTTTCATCTTTTTTATATTTCTGCTTCACCTTTTGAGCACTATAAACTGTGATGGTCTTCTTTCAGCAAAGGTTGAAGGGAACTGTTTCATTTTTAAAGTGTTTTATTTCTTATTTCCTATCGGAGCAGGGAATCAAATGGGGCTGTTATGGAATGTTTTTCCCAGTGGCATTCATTGCCTTTGAGCTCCCCATGAGACAAGTGGGCTTGAGGAGTGAAGAATCCTAAAGCACAGGTCCTAGTCCTGTATGACTGAAGGCAGAGAACCCTGATTACCCTGATTATGTGTGGATTCATCAGGGATCTCCTGGAGGAGAAACATTAAAGCCATGGAGTGTCTCTGGTTGAAACTCCTTAAAAATAAAATTTGGACAGGTCTTTCCTGACTTGACCAACATCCAGCATCTTTAATATCTGCCTTTCCAAAGACATTTACTCCAAGTTCACTTTTGTGCCTTTGGGAGTAAGAAACAACCTTCTGCACATTTCTGGCCAGTCTAGTTCCTCACTGAAATTCCAAGTGCTTGTGCCAGCTTGGAGAGCAAGGAATCCATGGCCTGTTTGAGAAGGTGACCTTGGTTTTCTTCTTGACATGTTCCTTTTATTTTTTTTTGTCATATATTTCCTGTTTAAGATGGGAAATAAAAAAGCTCTCTACCTGGAGGTGCAGATTCTCTTAAGAGTGTGACAGTGTGGGACAGGCATTAAAATACAGAAGTTCTTTGTGCTAGAAATATTCTGAGCTTTAAAAAAACTGAATATCTATCTTCATAATGTCCAAGAAAATATATGGAAGTGGCAGGATTTCACTGCAAATTCTTTACGTTTTCTATGTTTGCCTGTGTTATTTGAGTCATTTGAGGTGTTACATATGGGAGTAACAGCACCAATATAGTCCGACCCACTTGTTCCAATCATTCTTGTGCTTCCCAATTTTCCTAGGTCAGATTTGGCTCAGTTTTAGGTGTACAATGTGTTTTGTGTTTTAATTTGCTGTAATCTATAACTTGCAGATGAATATTTTAATTTGTCCTTGGGAAATAAAGCAGGAGAATGGACGCTGAGCAATAAAACCTGTGGGCTGAAGCCATGCAGTACCAGGGTGCTCGAGTTATCTGGCAAGGGGCTTGTGCTGTCTCAGGAGATATTGGGTAAAACAGAGTTGGTGATTTACAGGAAAATCCCAACAATCTGCATGGCCTGCTTTCAAACCCAGCTGAGACATCTGCAACTTTGGATTTTCGCTCTTCACAGCCCCCAGATACAAAGGGAAATAAGATTTCAAGGTGTGGAAACTGAGTTTGGTTTAAAATCAATTAGCAGCTGTTCTCTCTGTTGGGTTCTCTACTTCCTTCTTCCCTATTTTAAATCACAATTTGTGTACTCAGAGGCCTGCACTACTCAGAGCACTGGTTTAGACATCTATATTAGCTGGGAAATGCTATTGCTTCTGTTTTTCTCTAAAATATCCAGCACTCCAGCACTCTGTTTCTCACTGGCAATGAGATCTGCATGCTCTGCAGTGTTGCAGCACCACAGCTTGGTCAAACAGTTGTTTTGTAACATCACAAGAACAGTGGAAAATTAAATGTTTATTACAGAGTGAAGCAATATTATTGCTCATATTGCAGTAGGATGAGTCAATGTGATCTGATTCTGATGAAGACTTATGGAGTCTAAAAATAACTCATCCCCAGAGCAGAAAAATATGTGAAAATATACAGTCTATCCCTTAAATCCTGAGCATTAAGTTAAATTAATAGAAGAACTTGTAGAGTGCGTGCTTGAATCCATGAGGGATGTAGTGTGATAGTGTATATTTGCCTAAAAGCTCGCTCTGACAGCAAAAACAATGTACCACAGTATGTTTCTTTCTTATCTAATGGAAAGAATAACACACAGAGGCTCAGTTCTTGTAATGAAAACCCCCACATTAATTTTATTTTTTGATGTGTCATTGTAATTCAAGAGATGTTTTTAATCTCAGGATTGCTCGGGCACAATAAACCATTTAAAAAGTATTTGGCAAAGATCCCTGTGCTTAGCAACAGCTCCTTTCATTTAAAACTGTTTTTTGAACCAAGCTATTCAAAGCTTTGTTCCACTTATTAAAATAAAGTATCTTACTTCAAACAAGTTTTTCAGAGAACATAATCAAGAGGAGAGTATTCAAATACAATGCACAGAAAACATAAAAGGTAGCAGCATGAAAAACTCCAGGACTTTGTGTATGTTTCCTTGTTTATCATTAAGAAAAACGGTATAAAAATATACTCATTACGTTATTTCTTCTAGTGTTTTTATGGGATAGTTAATATTACATTTCTTACCACATTCTGAAATTCATTGTGAGATTTCAAGTAGCATTTAAAAGCTGTGCAGCATTTTAGTGAATGAAATATTGCATTAGTGGCGTATTTTTCAGTCATCTAGGTGACATAAGACAGCCAGAGAGGAGCTAAATATAGAATAATATCTAATTTATTGCTGTTGGCTTTGTGCTCTTCTGTTAAGTACAGTGTCTATTCATGGCACAGTGTCACCGTGGAAGCTCTTCCCAATAAGGTGAAGACAAGATAAACTTCATTATGCAACATCACATTAAGAATTTATTTCAGATTTTCATTAATGTCATTTTGGTTCAGTTCTGCCTTAAGTTAGTTTGCTTTTGATAGCAGAGGCATTGCCAAGGCAGAGATGGCTCCAGGGACAGGCCAAATGCAGTTTTCCTCCAGTTAAGGGATGTGTTCTTTCCTTTGTGTTTCCTTGTTCACCTGCACACTTTGGAAAATAAGGATGGCTGCACCATGCCAGGATCCTCTTCTGGGAAGAGATTCCAGAGTTCAGTTTCGTGGATACCAGATGCTTTTTTCTACTTCTGGGTGCTCAGTTCTCTCTGAAGGTAAGAGAGGTTGAGGTGAGGACGAAAGAGGACTGAGCATAAAGAATAACCTTGTTCTGCAGATTCTGCTGGGTTTAAATTTTGCTTTGTTTAGAAATGAGAACCCCAGACTTGAAAAATTCCCCATCAACAGAAGGGCCTGGATCTGCCTCTGGCTCAAGCTCTGACCTCATTCCTCAGGCCGTAGTTGTAGGGTTACAAACACAGCCCAAAAAGCTCCTACCCCACCATGGGTTCATAGGAAACCATGATATATCAGATATTACTGATAAAATTGTCATAATCCACCTGAATTTTGGGGGTAAAACCTGAAAAGGAGCTTTGAATAATAGTAGCTCTGCATAGATCATGCTGCATAACTTTTTCAAGATGGCAGTGACTATAAAATCAATGCAATTTTTGATCTCACATTGTGTGGGCAGAAAAATGGTTATTTCCAAGATGTTAAAAAGCTAATCTATTCTGTTAAGTTTTTGTATCTTGCATAGATATAGCTTATTTCTTTTTTTTTCTTTTAATTTTACTAACCAAGTTGGGAGCCTTGACATTTATTGGGCCCCCATATTTTTCATTTATATTCTCTCTAGTCTTCACCATCTGTTATGACAGTAAATAAGTTTCAAATAAGCCATATCTTCCTCAGCATGAGTTGCTTTTTCTGCAAAAAAAAATTAAAGTTGCAGTTGGATGTGATATTTGAAGTCACAGCTTGTCTTCAAATATTTAGTAGTGTATCCCTGTGCCAAGGGATATCAATCTGCCATTTGCCTTGCTTACAGTATAATAAAGATTATCCAAGCCCTTCTTTCATAGATATGTCAAGGCTTTTAATTACGATAGCTCAGGAAGTAGCTCTTTCCACTGGCTTTTTCCATTTTGCTTTGGATGAATATGGTTCCTTCTTATCTTTTTGCACGTTAAATTCCAAAAGGAGAATGTAGTGTCTGATTTTGGTGGATGTGATCTTCCCTTACAAATAAATTCTTTGGCTGTACCAACAACACTTTTGTTGCTGTAAAAGCCAGTGCTTGATGGGTATTTCAGATGTTGGTGCAAAAACTCAGGAAGTTCTGCAAAGAAGTTGTTGGGTTTTTTAATTCTGGTACAGGCAGGCTGAGGGTAAATTTGAGGTACGTTAATTTTATGTCTTTCCTTTACACCGTACAACACTCCAGTAAGAAGGGTTGAGACTTGGAAGTCACCTTTGTACCAACATGCCACTTTGCTTTCCAAATTTACCTCTTCCCTTGATGATGAATATTGTGTCACATGGAGACATTTTCCTCATCCATGGAGGAAAGAGGTGCAAAATCACGGGTTGGTTTCACTGGTTGTCTTCGAAACTGCAACAAATCACCCTGGAACTCTCTCAAAGTAGCTCCTCTGACAAGGAGGAAATTTCAACTCATTCCACTCAAAACTGAACTTATTGCTAGAACAGCAAACATTCTTGTGGATTGTGTTTTTTACTGATTTTACCTGTTCCCCAGGAGCTTCCCAGATGTGTCAGAGGTTTTCTAGGATAAACCAGGAATAAATTCTCCTTGTTCCTTCCACCCATCATGTAATTCTGTGGCTCCAACTGGCCCCATCCTGAATTATCTTTTTGCCCCATCCTTTGATATTTCTGAAGGATGCACATATATTTTGTGAGTGGATTTTAATATCGGCATCTTTCATCAGTACAAATTAGTACTTCCAGAATGGCACCAAAGAGAATATTGTGACTGAACATCAGCTCTACAAAACAAAAGGAGGTTGACTGCAGTGTGATTTATGTGGAAAGACTCAGGCAAATTCTGCAACAGCCACAACATTCATTATGCAAAGGTACTTCTGAGTAAAAAAACAGGTTTTACAGCATTAAAATAATGTTCCTTTTATAGTCAAAACTGATGCACAATTAATATTAACCCTTTTGTTTGTAAGAGGATTTCTCTTTCACTCCAATGTTCATAATCTTCTTACTATAAAAATAAAGCTTTTATTTTTATGTATGCAATTGTTTTTCCTTTTCACCTGTAAATAGAGTAATTGCACTTTTTTATGATTTTCCAGTATTAGATTAGTTTTATACCATGTTCTGAAATTTCATTCTCTTTCAGCATCAATCTTTGTTTTGTTTTTATTACAGAATTATACTTACAAATAACATCATTTCATAACAATAAACATAAAAATACAATGCAATACAGCAGTTACAGCTTTATAGAGTAAACATTTCATTTGGAAGAAAATTCCACTCTCACACTATTATTTCACAAAAGCAGCAAGGTCAGAAGCTCTGAGGGTTAATAACAAAGCTGTTTGTATCCTTAAATTGGGGAACAAATATTCAGGTGTCAATGACTACACCTGTCAGAAAACACAGAAAGAGGGTTTCTTGTCCACAGCTTAATTATATTGAAGAAGGGGTCTTGGACAAAAAACTGATTTTCAATTTGGAGTTAGTGTACAATGTAGAGTAAATTGTATCAAAGCCAAATGATATTCTACAAAATTAAATTTCTTTCACCTGACGTTGCTCAGTGCCAGGTATTTCAAGAGAATTAAAAATTTTCCATGCTACTTTTGCAGACTAAGCACACTCTGGATAGTGTAGAAAGATGGCAAATATGAAGTCAGAAGATTAGTGCAAGGCAGGAGTTGTTTAAGCACAAAATGTTTTTCTTACTTACAAGAATTTTCCAAGGTGCTGAATGGAAATAGGTGTGAAAAGAAGAAATACTAGTCAGGAGATTCATAGGAAATTTGGAGTAGGGAAGGGTTTTGCCTTAGATGAGAGTATCTCTCGATCTGATCATTTGCCAAATTCTCTCTTCTCTAAATACAGATTTGCTTACCATAAAACACTGTACTGGACCAGCATCCTTTCCTAGCTTTCTCTTACAGTAGTTGTAATATTAAATTAGAAATATTTTGGAATTATATCCATGTCAAATAGAAACTTTACAATTAGAAAGTTTTACAAACAATAAAATCTCCCTGTCTTGGCAAACTCTTTTTTAGTCATTCTACCAGTGTCTCACAAAAAAACCCCAAAAAGCCTCACCCAACCCAATTTTCTTGCTCTGGTATTCTGTAGTGGATAGTTATCATGATAAATGCACATGTTCTTTATTGTTGTATGTAATCTTGCTCTTTGCATTGCTGATCTTGAAGTAAATATATAAAGTGTTGTCTTATAACAGAGACAAATGAAAGGAGAGAAGAGGCAGAACCCTGGAGTGCCATCCTTCAAAGTCGATCTCTTGGAGGCCTAATTCAGCTGTAGGAGCAGAGAGGGCAACCTTGTAATATTTGCCCTTTGAAATGCTATCTTTCAGAGGTGACCTTTAAGCTAACTTGGGAGTCTGACAACCTGGGGCCTCAGCACAAGATCCTTCTCTCTGTCAGCCCCTCACAGCTGCTATCCCCTCTGCCTTTGTTCAAAATAGTTCCTCCTTCTGATTTTATCTGCCTGGCTTCATAACTTCTCCTAAAACACAGTTAGCAGACTGTTCCCTTTCTCTTGCAGGATCTTCTCTGAGTTTATGGTTCTGTTGTGTTCCTTACAGACCTTATTCCTTCTAGGATAAATTTCTTCTCCCTAGTGACCAAACCATTCAAGGACATTGCAGTACTCTGGGGAGATTCATAGTCCACAGCACTGCACACTCATTTTGGAACTTAGGCAAATGTAAACAATGAAGTTAATCAAGAAAGAGCTCAAACACTCTTGTGACCTGGCAGAAGTGAAATATCCATGTGGCAGCATACAAAATTAGGGAAAACTATATTAAATGGTGTGGATGCTTTCCAAGAACAGAGGAGCCTCCAGGATTACCAAATCAGCCATTGCCATCTCTAGCCATGATCATTGTCCAGGTGTGCTCGTGCTTGTCCAGGCTGTGACAAATGCAGGTGTGTCTAACAGCAGCTTTTAGGAATTCACTTATCCATTTCCATGGCTTTTGGAGTGCTGAACCAAAGCTATTCATTTAATAAACAAGCTGCAGAAGTTAGAAGGCAGATTCTTACAAATGTATTTGAAAAGCCAATAAAACTTTTGGTAAGAGATCAGATCTGTATTACAAACATCAAGAGTTATTTTTAGCTTCTTTAAAAATATTGAAAACTTCTTGGGGTACACACTTCTCCTAAGGGCTACTCCAGTGAAAATTCCTCCTGCTGGAGATCACACCTTCACCCCTGGTGACACTTCCAAAGTCCCTCAGAAGCAGAGGCTGTGTTTTTGGGACACCACACATTTCCCCACAGCTCCAGCAGCCAGACCCCTTCTCCCACCCCGTTTCCCTTGGCTCATCTGCACTGTGCAAAAGCCATGACCTGAGATGGAATTTTGGCCTGGAATTTCAGCGTTTTTCCAGTGCATTACCTGTCAGCACTTGGTCCCTGATTAGCCAGGCAGCTAATGGAACCCCACTGCTATCTCTGAAATTCTCCATTTTCTGTACTGAATTGTGTTCTTGCCTTGTCAGTGGTTTGGGGTTTTTATCTGTACAATTGTTTCCTTGGTTGTCTCCACTGTGTTTGTTTTTCTAAATGATAGCCAGCCCCTATTTTGGTGTAGCACCATATTACTTCATCAATCACTTGAAGAGGACGTTGACACAGTGTTAGGTTCTTTTGAGTAAAACAAGGCTGGTTTTATTATTTTGTTGTGTATTATTTTCCACTATTCCCATTGGACTGGGAAAATTGAGTTTTCATAGGCCTAATCTTCTCAGCTAATGTTATGAGCTAAAGCTAAGTAGCATTTGTTGGAAAACAAGAGCTTCATTTTGTGCTCAACTCATTCTTTTGTTTGGCAGAGATGTAACAGATACTGTGCAGGAATTTAGACCAGGTTTTTTTATTCACTGTATGGCTCAAGTTCTATTTACATGGTTGCTATTTAAGTGGTTGCTATTTATATTTCAAATATTGCAAATATTATGTTTATTTCTTAAAGAGAAGATTTTTGACTCGGTATCTACAGTTGAAATAATGTCATGTAATGCAAAGAACAAATTTGTACAAGTTGTGAAGGATGATCTGAAGAGAAGAGACAGCAGGAAAGAGAAGCAGAATTTACAGAAGATCCAAACAGAAAAAACCTCTGGTTTGGCCAGAAAAAGGCCCATGACCATCAGATATGAATTAATTTGTTAGGTGGAATAAAGGCCATGTGAATATTGAAAGGGGAAATGGGTAGGATGGAGTCAAAAATCTTTTCTCTTCTGGAGAAGAGCAGCAAGTTTGCAAACTAAAAAAGTACTGGTGGGGTTGTAATTAGTAGCATGAGCAGTATTTTGGGGAAAGGAGTGAAATGTATGAGTGGTTTCTGTTCTGGGAGGGAAGGAAAGCTGCCAGAGGAGAGGGTTGCTGGGTGTGTGAGACCATGGATGGAGGCTGGGGAAAAATGACACATTCACAGTGACTGTAGATTCCCTGCAGCAAAGGAGAACACATAAAATCGGGTGCTGTTCCCCAAAATTGTCTGTTTTGCAGAGAATCTGAAGTGCTGAGGGGTTTGTGTAATATATCTATGTAGGAGAGAGATGGGACAGGATTTCTGTTCAGGAAATCCAGAACAAGGGAACAGAGATGTCAGGCAAGATGAACTCACTGGAGAGGAACCACCTCGTGTTTGGATGTTCTCCAGATGAGCTCCTGAGCACACAGGGAGGAACTTTGGACTTTCTACACATGCCAGTAGTGAGTGTGAGTTTTTATGGTGTATCCTTGTATTCGTGGCTGCTTGAATTAGACTTTGTAGTATTTTCAAATTCTCATCAGGTAAGAATTTTTAATGTTTCTAAAAAATTTTTCATCATCTTTCTCAGACCATTATTACAGATAAAAGTTGTTTATGAAATAGCATACACTTGTAAGCAGTATAGTTTCACCTTTCTCCCCCATCATTCTATAATAATATTTATTTCTTGATTACACTTCTTCAGCTATGTTGGATCTGCCTCCTGACAAGTTTAATACAGTCGATGGCATTGATTTCGAATTTTGTAAAGTCTATGTGTGGAATTTTCTTTTTTGAAAATAATATTTCTTTATGAAAATATTAGAATGGCTAGAAAATATAAGTTTTTAATACAACTTATATTACATAACAAATGTAATGTATTTCATATTCCTTAGGACCAAACCTTGAAATACTCTGTTCATTCTTTGCCATGGTGAACACTGACCACTTTCTTCTACGAAATATTTCTTGCTCCTTAGAGAGCTTCAACATTTGTAAAGAAACTTTCCCACTTATTAATTATTTTCTTTAATTAGTTACGAAGAACTAACAAATTTTTTAAATCCTCTGTAACTAGCATAACCCACACAACTGTCATAACAATTATTGAAAAAAAAATAATGTGTGGGGTTTAGTGTAACGTCCAGTGCAAGGTGTCTAAAATTCTGACTTTCCTCGTATACTGACAGATTTGGTAGTGACAGATATCTGGTTAGGGAAAGCTCAGATGTTCCACTCAGGGGCTGGAGTGGCAGCCACAAACTGCTGTGGAAACCCCCTGTGGCAGGAGTTTTGGGGAGATTTTGCTCCCTGGGATCTGTCTGGTGTTCCACGTGCAGCCACTTCCCTCGGCCATTGCAGAGAACGTGGGGGCACTGCTCTCACTGAACAAAGATTATTCTTCATGAGTAATTTTCTTGCCTGTCGTTTTTTGGATAAGAAGCAATTTTTAAAATGTGTTGTCAGAAATCCATCCCTTATGCAATAAAAAACTCAAAAGCTGTGCCTGATGACATACAAGATGTCCAGATCTGCATTGGCTCCTTCTCTGCAATCTGTTTACAAAAGTTAAAAAATGCAGCAGAATGAGTTGGTTTGTAAAGGTGCTTTTTTGAATGCTAAATCATATCTGCAAAACTGAAACACTAAAATTTGTCTTGTTTCACTACATGAGAGTCATCTGAAACAAGTTCAGTTTAAATTAAAACATAAGATAACACAAATAGAACAGAAGAATAAATTACACAATTCATTCCTCTCTCAATGGGAAGAAATGTATGAATTGAATTTATTTGAGGTTTCTGCAGTAGTTTGTGTATTTGCAAAACAAAAATCTGAAAGTTATATATGTGCAATTACTATACTCTTTTCCAGAAGTATTGATCTTAAACTGTTATGAGTTTTTTATCTCATGAAAATACTTTTGATGATACTTTTTTTACCCAAATATTAATTACTAACACATTTTGAATTTTAAAAATGTGTATGCCAGATATTTCAAAGTAGTATTTTGATCCTGAATGAGTAATCTGACTTTTAGAACAGTGGTGCACTCATTTGCCATTGATGTAATGCGAGCTAAAAGGCTTAGCATATCTAAAACTAATTCAATAATTTTATGCTTCTCTTGAGATTTCTCTAAGCCTGCGAGGAATTGGAAATTCCCAAACAGTGGTTAGGAAACAGTGAAAAAAAGAAGTTCTTCTGTCTGAGGTTTGGATTATTGCATGGAGTCATATTTCTGCTGCCCCTGACCACTCTGTTTCAGCCATGCTAACAAAGCTGTGAATTTCTGGAATCGCAGGAATGGAATTGCAGGAATGGCAGCTGAGCCCAGGGTGTCACTGCCAGTGCATTCATTCTTTCCCTCCAGCATCCCTCAGGGAGAACATCAGGGACCAAAATCCCTGCATCCCCCAGGCCAGGTGAGCCAGGGAACCCCTCAGGGTAAATTCCTCCCCAGCTGAGCTGTCCTGCCCTGTTGGTTTAGGGTGATTCCCTAAATGCCCCTGGCTGGCTGTGCTCCATGGATTGCCAGCCCTCACCCACTGGTGGGTTCTGTTTGGCAGCACCAGCTCAGTGAAACAACAATCATTCAGCTTACCTGGCCGGCTCAAACCATTGTAACAAATTTTTTAAATATTTCAAGCGTGCATTGAAATAATTTTAAGCATTCCTAAAACTTTCTGTTCCATTTCTCGTCCAAAATGAGTGTTTGCAGACAAATTTCAGCAGCAGTGTGGCAGAGGGGCTTGTCCCCATGCCTCTGTCACTTGTCCCAAAAATCCTGTTGGTTTTCCTTGGTATTTGTCTCATTATTTGTCATGTTTGTGTCCACTCCTGAGCCATAAAGGGAAAATCCCTCTCTTTATTATCCAAGTAACAATGGGATTACAGGTCTGTGAGAGGCTTTTTTTGTTTGTTTGGGGTTTTTCTCAGTGTTGCATGACATGGTGCTATTAGTGTTTTTACAATGATGAGAGAGGAAACTGCATTCCAGTGGCAGGTCACCTCCAGGTTAAAAGAGGGAAAAAAAAAGAATTCTCTGTCATAATTGCCTGCCATGGAAGGAATAGTGCCTGAACATTAATGTCAAGCATTTTGTACTGAGTTGTCATCTGAAATATACCTGGTGCAAGCCAAATGTACACAACAGGGTACAATGCAAAGTTATTTACATGAAGATAAAAGTATATGTGGCGGCAAAGGACTTATAGACCATGGGCTATAGACAAGTTTAAATTCTGTATCTGTTTGAGCCTTGGAGTTTACATTATTCCATCTGCTAAAACTCATAAGTGACTGTCCTGATTTCATGAGCTTTATGATACCAAGACCATTTTCACAAGTCAGATTTTTGGTTTTTTATTCTACAAGCATTTACCAGGTGTTTTCACCATGTTCTTCCACAAGTGCATAAAAATGTGAACACAGGGGTCAACACAGTGTTAACATACAGAGAAATATTATTTGTTTTCTTTAAGGTAGGTAAACTTTCAGAGAAGATGCCTGAAGAATTCTATCAGCAGGAAATTATCATTTCTACATACCTGGCATTGTATAATTTAATGCTGTCTTCCCTTGACTCATGTAAAGTACAGAGGAATGGCAAAGGTCACCTGTGTCATCCATTCTGTTGAAAAATATAATTTTTATTTGGCTCTTTTAGCCCAGGATGCTCTTGCTGCTTTGTGAATGCCCATGTTTTTCCTTGTCATTACTGCAAATATTCAAAAAGCTGGAAAAAAAAAAATATGAGTCTCATTAAGGTACCTTTCAAGCTCTAGCCATGTGAGCTGAATTAGGGAAGAGTATTTTTGTACTGGACCACAAAGGAAATTATTTACACTCGACTGGGCACTAAAATGATCTTTAGAGAGCAAGTATTAGGGTGAAGTATAAAGATTGTGAATAAAACTTCAGAGGAAAAAAAGAACCTCAGTCAGTTGGTTTAGGTTTGATTTGGTACCAGGAGAAACCCTCACTTTAAACGTGAAATATCGTGAAACACTTCACTCTTTTCTGAGGCAAAAGCTTGAATTCTCACAGGTCTGGTTCAGATTCATCACAAGTTCTGCTGGTTGGCTGAATCCACTTTCCTCCAAAATACAGGTGTGAACTCCAAAAAAAGAGAGTTTCTATGCAAAATGTGTGGTGTTTGGTGTTAGAAATGAGTTCAGGGAGCCAGTCTCGCAGCCTTCCTTGGTTTCCAGCTCCATCTGGGCCTGCAGGGGCAATGCCATGGATTTCATACAATTCTGCTTTTTGAGAGGTTATTTATTTATTTATTTGATGGGGTATTGGAATATTCTGACTGAACCCACATATATCAGCTAAAGCTGCTTGGGGACGGAGCAGGGAAAAACCCCAGTGAAAATTTTAATATCTGTATCTCCATGAATTAAAATATTCTACTTTTGAGGAAGATAATGTGTAGCATCTTCATTACTGTTTTATACACTATTACCTTCTCCAGAAGCATTAGCACTAAAAAAAATTAAAAGCAATTTAGCTGCACTAATATTTAGTTGTTTTCAGCGCTAAATGTTTAATTTCTTCAACTAAAATTTAATTTATTATAAGAACAACTTTAAACAAGCTAAAATTGCTATTTGCAGAAATAACCACCCTGATGAGATTAAAATCACAATTTCTCAATTTGCCTGTGGAAACATATTAATGTAATGGATTCTGTTCTGCACTGAATGACAGACAGATTGATGTGTCAACAGAGAAAAGAATTATAACCATCAACGTGTCTCTCATTGTTTGACAGTGATTTACTACTGTCCAAAAGTCTGTTAGCTCAACTTTCAGATTGAGTTATTCAGACTTATTCCGAGGTGCCACCCCACAGAGACTTTGTCTGTCAGCCCCTGCTGCTGCAGGGGACCCCAAAATCCTCTTGGAACTTCTCCTGTTGTAGGGACAGGCTCCAGCTCGGGGTGCAGATTTGGGGCTTAGAATAGCTCTGCTGGAAACTCAAAGCTGCATTTTATTTTTAGGATTTGATTTTCAGGCCTGAAAAGCACTTTTTTATAGTAAATGGATAATCCCAGTGAATGCTCAAATTCTGTAAAAACAGAAATTTTATAATACGTGCATCATCAAGGCAATCTTGGAGATGCAACATCACATTATTTAATGAATGGGTAGCCCAGGGTTTGATATAGAATTAGTACAATTTTAACACCTAAATAATAATTCCTGTGCTGTTATATCTCAAGGTTTAGCTCAGGCAATGGGGAAAGCCTTGAAATCCCAAATCCTTGCTGGATCAGCAGGAAGAATCCCTTTTCCTTTCAGTTGTTTTAGAGTCAAAGCATTCATATTTCTCTGTGCTATCACTGGATTTTCAGAATTTAGTCTATATTTCAGAATTTATTCTAATATTTTCATTTACCATTGATAATTTTATCTTTCCAATTTTAATTGTGTCTACCTTTATTTATGATCTGATAAA